GAGTTATTGATTGGAGTTGAGATTTTCTGGAACATTGACATGTGGTATTTGCTGGTTCTCCAAACTACTCAAAATTTTTGCTACCAGTTCTCCAGAACTGGTCAGAACCACCTCTGCAACCAACCAATCCAGAAAAAAAAAAGACTAACAAATGGATATCAGAAATGCATCTCTCTGCTGACCACTACCTCCAGGGGTGCTTATTTTGAGGCTAGAAGTCCCCCCGGCAATCAGCTCTCAAACCAAAACCAGCAATTTGTCCCAACTGCACAGGAAATTATGGCAAATAACCAACACAACATGGTATGTGCAGCTTCATGGCAATTTTCAAGGGGTCAATCACTTATTTCGGCCATTAGCTGGCAATTCTGGGCAGAGGGCCAGAGAAGGTTAGTCTGCTACATTTTGGAAATTCAATTTGTTGTGCATTCCAATAAACACTGCTTCTCAGGCTAATGGAATTTAAGTTAGCCTGCCACTAACCTTTGCACTTACCAAATGCTCTGTTATCCTTCGGCGCTCCAAAGCTAATGGAAAATATATATCCACCCACCCCACCCTGAAATAACCATATTAAAATGTACCATGGGTAGGAAAATGTTATGTACTTGTCTTTCTTTCTTTTTAAAAAAAAGAAAAGTCAAAATCGGGGTCGAACAGACCAATAAAGGATGACAAAATTGAGAGCCAAGGGTGTTGCTTTCTCTAATAATTGTTCTGTGAATAGATTGTGATTGCTGTACGAGTGTTCTAAAGAATAAAGGAAGAATCTTTTTATTAGAGGATGAAATGATGGTGTATAGACCGCTCTGCCAATTTCTAAAAATACAGGAATAATAGTTGATTATAAACTGTCCATATGGATAGATAGCCAGTAGTTATTGGTAGTTATATTTGGAGTTTTGCACAGTGAAATTGGACAATATTAAGTAATTGGACTTCATAGGCTGCATGGCCCAACTGAATGCTTTTAAAATTCTCTGGTTGCATGATCTTAATCTTATTATTCATTTTACTGCATCATTCTGTTTATGTTTCCAAATCGCCACAAAAGGTTTGAGCTTGACTACCCTGAATCTAAACTTCAGTAAGTGTGATTGGAAGGTGCAATTTAGTTTGGAAAACCGAGAGTCAGAAATTTCCTCTGAGAAATGCCTAGGGAGATCCCCAGTCATCCAGGTCGTGGTTGTCCCAAAAGTCCTTTTTTTCAAGAGGCAACTGGACTTTCTGGTTTTTCTTTGAAGATGTTTCGCTTCTCATCCAAGAAGCTCCTTCAGCTATAACTGGATGGTGGAGAATGGATTTAGACTCCTTGCAGACAGCTGGTCATTTGCATTCATTTAGCAGGCCGTTAAGGTCATCTGGAGGTTTATCTGTGACATCAGGGAAATCATTTCGTCATTTGAAATGATGACACGGATAAACCTCCAAGCGGCCTCAACAACTCTCTCATTTTTGAAGGGATATTATTTTAATTAGGGGCAACGGGTTCTAACAATAATGTCATCATGTGAACCCTTCAAAATAGAAAATATAAAAGGCATTAATAATTAGCGTGATCCCAACATTCTTTTTTTAAAAAAACTGTATGATTTCAACGATGAAAACATTCCGTGATTCAAACCAATTCCAATAAAACCGAGTTTTCAAACTTTGCAAGGTTGTGCTCTCTTCAGATTTCAAATAGAATTGACCTTTCTCTGTTATCACAAATTTAAGAATCTGCTCTGAATAGTACTATTAGGTAGTGTTAAATTGAAACTCTTGAGAAATCCAATGACCCCGGGGGCGGGGAGAGACTCCACATAAATAATTCCCTTTGAGCTGGATGGCATTTCTTGATAGTAAAAGGTTAGAAAATTTGCTTTAGTCAGAGAACTAAAAGCAGAAGAAGGAACAGCTCGATATGCATCTTTGAAGTGTGTTTTTTTATTTTATTTTTTATTTTTAACGTTTTGTCCTTTAACTTTGTTAATATGGAAAATATTTGTACAATTTAAAGGGCTTTACTATTTCAGAGACATAGACAACTACAACTAGAGGTGGCGTTTAGCAGGTTCTGACCATTTCTGGAGAACCAGCAGTGGAAATTTTGAGCAGTTCGGAGAACTAGCAAATACCACCCCTGACTGGACATTTTACAGTATCCTTCCCCTGCTATGCCCACCAAGCCACGCCCACAGAACCAGTAGTAACAAAATTTGAATCCCACCACTGGCTGATTCAGATCGGTTCTGGTGTACCAGTAGAGGAAATTTTGACTAGTTTGGAGAAACGGCAAATACCACCTCTGGCTGGCCTCTCCCGCCCTTACCTCTCCAATATTCCCTTATTTTTTTTAACTCAGGTGATTCTCATGGCAGAGCGGATTGCTGCACTTCGGCTGAGCTAAAAAATAGCTCAGCTCACCAGGGTTGATAGAGGTTGGTCTTTGAGCCCTGCGTGCATGCACAAAGCACATGTTAGATGCGCGCATAGAACCAGTAGGAAAAAATTTGGAAACCCACCACTGACTGCAACCCTAATCTCACTGACCCCATTTCTGCTTGATAAGCATAATGGATAAGCATTTCTGCTTATAACTGACAAATGTAATACATTTTTGTATCCTGAGTCCTATGGAATTCAATAGACCCTCAAGTCACACTCTCCAATCCACCTCCATTCTGCGCTCCTGCCCAGAAGTCCGGTCACTCCCCTCCAAACTCCAGCGACTTGACCTTAAGTTCTGGTGAAAGAATGTTGTTGTGGCTTCTCACTTTACTTTCATTCCCCTTTGGCAGCCCCAAATCCAATCCAAGATGGAATGTGAGCTGACATGGAGACAATTTTGGGAGACAATTTCATCCATAGACTGTAATTTTGCATGGCAGGTTTTGTTAGAAAGGTACAAGTTAACCTCACTTCGCCCCCCCCCACTTCCCCACCATTAAGAGGTTAAATCCCAGAATTTTCCATTTAATGAGAGTTAAACTAAAAACTCATATATATTTTTTCTGCTATGTCTGGGAATGCTCTATAATGGTCTATATCAGGGCTGTCAAACTCACAGCCTGTGGGCTGGATACGTCACATGCTAGCCATGCACACTCCCGGTTTAGCAAAGGGGGGGGGGAGAGTCACAATCTGTCGCGTGATGTGAGTTTGGGCTACCATTAGTTAAATAAAGCAAAATGAATGACTCAGTTACAGTGGTGATGAATACATTGTTAGAACGACTGAAGACCAGTTTGGGGGCAGATCATAATGAAGAAAATCTATCTGTGGGATCAACAATGACTTGATGGCATATCATCAGTCACCACTGGGACAAAGTATTAATTTTGTTTAATTTTGTTAGTTATGGCTTATCTTAGGATTTATCACTTTGCTGTTTGCATGAGACCTTCTGCAAATTCCTTGTGTGTCCAATCACACTTGGCCAATAAAGAATTCTATTCTATTCTATTCTATTCTATTCTATTCTATTCTATTCTATCCTACTCCATTCCATTCTGCATTTTTTCTGCTTTCTATTATGTTCTGCATTTTTCTGCATTCTATTCTATTCTATTCTACTCTACTCTACTCTACTCTACTCTACTCTACTCTACTCTACTCTACTCTACTCTACTCTACTCCACTCCACTCCACTCCACTCCACTCCACTCCACTCCACTCCATTCCATTCCATTCCATTCCATTCCATTCCATTCTATTCTATTCTATTCTATTCTATTCTATTCTATTCTATTCTAT